TTCTAAGGCACCATATTCTCAAAATTCTTAACATGAACCACTAAGATAAGTGCTAAGTTGACCCTCATCCTCTTCATCATCGATGAAAATCGTTTCATGGACGATGTCTTTTCTAACATAGTAATTGTTCTTGAGAACGAATCCTAGCTTGTTAATGGTGTGTTCATCAATCGGGTTAAACAAAGTGTGCAACATCGGTGGATTAAATTTGGTGTCTACCCCAAATTGGTTGAGAATCTCACTCTCAACCATACCATATGATAGCATTTTAAAGCCCCCATTGATGGTCCTCAATATATCATCCATAATGAATTTTGTAAGGTCAATCTTATGGTTTTTCTTGATATGATAAATGAACCAAAGGTCCTCACCCATGATAATGGAGTAGTTGAACCCATGAAGTCGGATAGTTTTAAGGCTTAAACGTGTTAGAAAAATACTTTAAACGAATTAAAATTGAAGAAAAACACGATTGAGGTGAGAGGATTTGAGAAAATAAAGGATGGGGTGTCGCTGGTTTAAGAAGAAATGTATGGTCAGGCCATTTAAAACAAGTTGTCTATCTATAGATCTTGAGTATCTACCAATTGATAAGACTAAACATTTTTATTTTTGGCTACTAACTGTTGTCTATCGATAGATGGGGCACAGACTTTTTATTTTTGGGTTCTATCTTCTATCTGTCAACAGCTATGAATGATCTATCTATAGATAGGCCATGGTGGGTTTTGATCTGGGCTTGTAGAAGCTATCTATCGATAGACTATGTTGATCTATCAATAGATGTCCTTAAGTGGCTTTGAAAAACAGAGTTTTGACTGTAAAAAAACAAGCAAGAAAGTCCAAAATTGAGTTTTTTTATCATGGATGAGTTCATAACTTGTGAAAAAACACTTGAAGCAATATTTGAACCCAATGCCTTAGATTTTTGGATTTAAACTTGGATTTTTCCAAAAAATTATTCTCTTCCACAAGTTTTGAGGCATTTCTTATATTAGATGGCTATGCACAGTTAAGCACAAATGAGTGATGAATGAATGAATATATCTTATATCAAATTTGTAGAAACATACACCTTAATATGAAAACAATCATTTAGCACATTTATCATCTACATCATCATAAAGACAATAATGTTCAAAGTAAAGGATGCACTTCATCAACTTAAATTGTTCACATCAAAATCCATCAAAAGGATCAAACTTTTCATCATTTAATTTATCTAAGGTTGATTCATAATACCGAATTCAATTCTTATTTGACAAAATTGTTCTTTATCAAGAGGTTTAGTGAAAATATAAGCTAATTGGTCTTTGATACCAATATATTTGAGAACAATGTCTTCTTTTTTAACATGGTCTTTAATGAAATGATATCTTATTTCTATGGGTTTAGTCCTAGAGTCATGGATGGGATTTTTTGTGAGATTTATGGCACTAGCATTATCACATTTTATTGGAATTCTTTTCATACTTAATCCATAATCTTTTAATTGTTGCTTCATCCTTAGCACTTGAACACAACAACTCTAGACAGTCGCATACTCTACTTCAGCAATGGACTGAGCTACATTATTTTGTTTCTTTGAAAACTAAGAGATCAACATGCTACCTAAAACTTGGCATGTACTAGATATGCTCTTTCTATCTATTTTGTATTAACCAAAGTTGGCATCCAAATATGAAAAAAAACTAAAAGTGGAACTCCTTGGATACCATATTCTTAAATTACTTGTGTCTTTTAAGTACTTGAAGATTATTTGGCAGCACTTAAATGAGGTTTTCTAGGAGATGATTGAAACCTAGCACATAACCCCACACTAGAGCTTATGTGTGGTCTACTAGTGAGTAAATAGTGCAAGGATCTAATCATGGGATTGTAGAGCTATTGATCAACAGGTGCACCTTTTTCATCCTTGTCAAGCATTGTTAAGGAGCTCATTGGTGTGTGTTATGTTCTTTTGCTTTTCATACCAAACTTCTTGACCATGTCTTTTGTATACTTAGCTTGACTTATAAATGTGTCATCTTTTTTTTCTTTAATTTGTAGTCCAAGAAAGTAGTTTGGCTCACCCATCATGCTCATCTCAAATTCTCCTTACATAGTCTTAGCAAACTCTTGAAAAAAAAGTTCATTAGTAGCACCAAACATGATATCATCAATATAAATTTACACAATTAAAATGTCTTTGCCTTTGCTTTTGATGAAAAGAGTTTTATCAACTATCCCTCTATTAAAATCATTTTTGGTTAAGAATTTTGATAAAGTCTCATACCAAGCTCTAAGTGCTTCCTTTAAACCATAGAAGGCTTTTCTTAATCTAAAAACATGATTTAGAAGAGTAAGATTCTCAAAATCGAGAGGTTGTTCAACATATACTTTTTCATTTGTGAGCTCATTTAGAAAAGCGCTATTCATATTCATTTGATATAGCTTAAACTTCATGTAGCATGCAAAAGCTATAAGCATTCTATTAGCATCTGGTCTAGCTACCAGAGCATAAGTCTCATCATAATCTATTCCTTCCTCTTAACTATATCTTTTGGCTACTAACCTTGCTTTGTTTCTAGTTATGGCTCCATTTTTATCCATTTTGTTCCTAATGACCCATTGAGTACCCACAATTGGATAATCATTTAGCCTAATAACTAACTCCCATACCTGACATCTTTCAAATTGATTTAATTCTTTTTGCATAGCTAGTATCCAATAGTCATCGTCTAAGGCTTCATTAATGTTTTTAGGTTCAATTTGAGAAATAAAGGCAACATACTCACAAACATTTTGAATTGTAGCTCTAGTTCTTACCCCTTAATTAGGATCATCAATAATTTTACTTTCAACCTCTTTTTTTACCATTGGATACCTAGGCTTACATTCTTTAAAAAAATGTTTAATTTATTGCTCTATTTTTTGTGATGCTTCTTCATTCACTTTGGATTCTTCAATATTGAGACCAAGCTCTTCAATTTGTACTTGAAAGATACCTATACCATCATTATAGTTTACCTTTTTAGGTGAAGGGTTAGAATCATCAAATAAAACATGAATAGATTCTTCAACAACTAATGTCTCTTAGTAAACACTCTATCACTATAAAAAAAGAGCTTTTTCTGGTGGAATTTTTCATTGGAAAAAGTTAACATTTCGTTGAAAATACCTTTTTTCGATAGATTTCCAATGAAAAATCTATTGGAAATTCTGTCGATAAAAGCCTCGTCGGAAATACTTTTTATTGAAAATCCAACAAAAAATTCCATTGGAAAAAATACATAATCTGTCGACTATCCCATAGTAATTTTGCTGGAAATTTACAATGGAATTTTTCATTGGAAAAGTGTTTCCCATGGAAAATTCCACTAGAAAAGCATTCCCAATGAAAAATTCCATTGGAAATTTCCAATGAAATTTTCCATTGGTGATGAATTTCCAATGGAAATTCTTTTACTAATTTTCGATGGCATGTTCTGTTAGTAATGCTTTTCCAACAAAAATTACTAATTAAAATTTCGATAATAAATTATCAATTGATAACCACAATTGACTTTCACAATTTATAAGAAAAACACACATTAAAAATTAAAATTCAAAGTCAAGTTCATATAACTAAAAATTGCCATAAACACAAAATATCTAAAAATGTCAAACGCATATGAATATAAAGCTAAATGTGCTATTAAATACCTATACTAAAAGTATCCAAGTCTAGCAATGAAAAAGAGACATCATATCATGAAATGTTACGTTCTTACTTGTCAAGATTTGAGCTTGAAGTACCCGTATTTCTTTGTTTTGAAAGCACATTAGTCATGATCATTGTTTCCATACGTGCAATAAATTCACTCATGTTTTTCCCATTGCATTCTTAATTTCTTCATGTATTTCCTCACGTATCTTATCCAAGTTTTTTGATAGATTTTTCACTTTCTCTTCTAATGCAATTGCAGGACTGGTAGCATTTGAGTTGATAGGGCCACACCCAGACTCAAATATTGCTACATTGTTGTGTGTTCCATTAAGTAAAGCTGTAACAAGCACTCAAGCACCAACCCATACACGTGAGTGTGTGTAGTCTCCATTCCTCCAATTGCTTCAGTCCAAGCATGCGAATCGAATTCTGGCCGTGAAGATGAATCTTCACCATACTTCTGTGATAATACAAAATTATACATTTTCTATATAAAAAATTAAATAAGATTAGTATTCAATTATA